CACACCACACCACACCACACCACACCACACCTCACCTCACTGTATATGTCTTGCTTTTTCTGCTTGCATGCTGACAATATTTGCACTACACTTTGAAACGAAGCTGTTTTCTTTGCGCTGCTCTTGCGTATTTTAGTCTTATTTTCTTTCTACCTGATGATCACTTTTCTTTAAACTTTGGAAGAAGCAGGACGGATGCCAGTAAGAGGTGCGCATGGAGGTGCGCAACTTCCAAATTGTTTCCGCCATGTCCCTCGTCTCTCTCGACTCCTTGATGAAAGTGGCGTTTAAGAAAACAAATTGGGGGACGCTCACAGCAAAAAAAAAAAAAAAAAAACTGTTCTTACTACGTTTCTATACCGTAACCGTCACTCAATTTTTTCGTTTTTCATGGAATCATGTTAAGAACAGCATTTACTAGTGAAATAATATTTAACTCGAAATATTAAAGATAAAGTGCACCTCTCGAGTCATTCAAACCAAATGAACTGATTGATAAACGAGAGAACTTCATATGGTCAATCTACGTCATGACCGACGTGACAATGGTGCGAGTGCGCGCAGTTACGTACGGGACCAATTAGAACGCGTCGTCATTTTCCTTATAAGGACACAGTTGAGCCACACCGGTTAGTGGTCAGCGGTTAACTAAAATAGTTATTAAACCACAGGAAACCCAGTCTTGGGTTATTACCTAATTTCAAGAAAGTGTCATATAAAAATAGCAAACTAACAAACAGGAATTAACTATTTTCTATAGGCGAAACAGGAGTAATTATATTACTGTTTTGAAGGAATCGAAGAGACTAAACATTTTTGATCTTACCTTGTTTGCATATACCAAAACTACGGTTTGGACTTCTTCACTGCGTATCCGCGTATCCAAGCATTTAAAGGAATGGTTTGAAGTGCGGGGTATTCGATAGTTACTCCCATTAAGTTTTTCTCTTTCGTAGTAGGATCAACAGTAGAAGTTGATCAGGTTCAATGACGTCAATATTACGCATCTCTTATTGTATTCAAAACAATAACCTATAGTAATTGCGTCTCTAATTAACTCCGGAACACAATTCCTTGGATTACTACTCAAGTTGTTTACTGGACATTTTGGTTACTCAAAAATAAAGCTCCCGTTTTAACTTTTCTGCCTTGGCTGGTTTCCACTAAAGATTATTATTATAACGACTAATATTGAAGTAAATTTAGCAGCTTTCACATTCTACTTGAGGAGAGCCATTCGAGTCTTTCTGCATGTACCGCCAACCCATTGTATTATTAATTGTTCAGAAATAATTGGACACCGTGTTCTAAAGAAAGCCGATTTGCAATGGAAATTTCACACATTTTGGTATAAAAAGCTTCCCAAAGGAGTTTTGATTCATTTTTATTCGTTCGGCGTTGCAACAGGAGGTCAAAACAAGATGAAGCTTTACACTTTTATAGTAGTGGCAGCTTTGCAAATTTGCTTTGCAGGTAAGACTGTTTCTATATAATAGTGAACATGACTTTTTTTGCATGGAAACTTAACATTCTTCGCTACACAAACCAAATTTCTTTTTGAATTGAGCCCGTAAACAGAGCTGTTTAAACAAGACCTGGCAAACATAAAGATTTCGTTATACATTTTTCAGTGGGTTATGTACGAAGGGTTTTCAGATATTTTTATGTTTTCAGTTCTTCATTAGGGATTTCAATGGTTTCTATGGAGGTTTATTCAAGATGTTAATAATGTGATGTTATTAGTTCGGGCGTAGATTCACTGAACTACGCGCCAAAGTATGTACTCGATAATCCATGAGTTGCTGGGGGGAAAAAACAGTGAGATTATCTTAATTGTTTAAAACTACTACCTAGGATAAACAACGAAAGAAATTTTTTAAAGAAATCTTGCAAATTTCAAGGGAATTTTGAAGGGACTTGTTACCTGGGTGTTGATTGAACGATGGTTGTCATGATCACGGTGATAAACACGGCTTTTCAACGGCTTTTCAACAATAGCGCAGCGCAACCGTGACGTCATAAAAACGAAGACAAAGGCGAAATTCGGACAAACAAACTTACAAGTTTACTTTCAGCAGATAATTT